AGCAAAGCACTCTAGTCTCTTTAAACTGAGACAAGCCTCCAGAAGAGCTCTTTGCTGTCTGAAAGGCAAGTTACCACATGCTGAAGTTTCTGTTATACTGTGGACATAATGGAATTTGCAAATGCCTGACAGAGCAAAGAACAATTGGTCATTTAGTTCACCATTTCTGCCAGTGGAGCTGTTTGATGGAATTCCATGGTACCTTTGATGCTCTTCTCAGGACTGAAAACTCTTCTGCCATGTCCCAGCCCCTGCACTGGGTGTCTGCCAGCCCCCTGCTTTCTCCAACTGACTGGCACCTCCCTGCTGTCATTCATGGTTAGATCTTAACTTCACTTTTTACCCATCCATATCTTTAGCAAAGACCAGAGTCTTTTTCTTGCCACCAGTGGAAATAAAAGGTGGCATAAGCCTGAAAGTAGAATATATTGCCCAGAAATTTGAGATCAGCAGAAGTGCAAGTTAGGCAAGTTAAAAAGAGTAGGCAGAGCTTTTGACTGGAAGAAAGGTAGATGGTACAGGAGCAGAATCATCCTCTGCATGAGTTGCTCCTCATTCTGTGGTATTTTTTTGCATGTTCTTTGAAGAACTAAGACTCAGAGTTTGGCCAGTGGCTGCATGAAGCCTATATATCCCTGCTCTCTGCTGGCCATTTCTTCCCCTGAAACAAAAAGAAATCCTTTCATCACCTGACCAAAGGGGTCAGAATACCCTCTTCTCATCCTACATTGAGTCAATCCTGCTCTCCAGCCTTAGGTAGGTGAGGCAGGATTAATAATTGTGTCCAAGATGTTTCTGTTTCTAGATAGTGCATTTTTTGTGAAGGTATTTTGTGAGTATGATATATAAATCACTGTGGGATGCAGCAGAACTTTTTGGCCTTGCAGCTTGGAGGTACCGTATTCATCTTTTCTCTGCCTGTAAAACATGCAGCCCAGAGACATGATGAATATCTTTTGCAGAAGTTCAACTTGAAACTCCAGGGAAGTTCCTTGGAAGTGTTTATAAACAAGACATTCATTTTGTTAGTTAAACAAAAGAAGATAATCCTTCCAGACTTCCTTACCCCTTTGTCTCCCACCCCCCTCACTTTCCTGACTTACTTCCAAAGCTTCTAAAGAGAGGATTGATTGGAGACTGATATGAGCTAACATTGCTGTTCTCAACTTTGTAGTACCCAGCCTTCGTCACAGCCTGTGCCCAAAGTTGATGGTTATGTCTGGGCATCCAGAGTACACAGGCCAAGGGGAACCAATGGGCAGGGGTAGTTTAAGGACACAAACCTTTTGCAAGAAGAGTATCTTGTCTTCTGGCTGTGCAGGGAGAAACTTGCCTAGTGCTATGCCATGAATTATCCCCCACTTGTAAGTCATCCCATGTCTTGCACTTGTCCCCAGCTCTGTTTATCAAATCTGTTGGTCCCGCTGCTACCCAAGGACTGTATAAATTAATTTATCAGTCACAGGCCACAGTCTCACCAGGGAAGGGAAAAAGCAAATGGATAGAAGTACTATAAAACTCCACAGATAATACAGTTTTGATTAGGAAGAGCACTAACTATTGCAGCCACTTTCAAGCCCATTAGAATAGCTGTTTGTATTCCTTATTACTTAAATTGAGGCACTTAGCTCAAAGAGGCTGTAGTGAATACAGTCCTTTGTTAGTAGGGCATTTGGATCTTCATTCTTGCACCAGTCCTGGCTGCACTACTCTTCAGAATCAAGCATGAATGGTTAGTTACTACCAGCTAAGTATTTAGCCCAGTAGTATTCATAGCTGGGGGTTTCCTTTTCAGGGCAAAGAAATAACAAAAGCCAGTATTGCTATCATGAGTACAGAGCTGAGTCTGGAAAGAGGAGCTTACAGAAATCTATTTCCTGGCTGGGTATGAATGGCTGGAAAAACAGTGCCTTTGTACTATTTGGCACATCAGCCCCAGGGGCTTGGCTAGGGCCTTGGTGGTACATGTTACCCCATCCCTACCTCTAAATGAGCAGAAACTCCTGGGTGGATGCAGGGATTTGTCATCTCAGGAGAGGTATCTGTGTAGACTGCGATGTCCATAGCAGCCAGGCAGCCCAGAGCATGTCCATCATAGTCACTGTGGTTATTCAGGGCAGGGCTGTTTAGTGAAAGGAGGGACAACACAAGACACACATCTGCACTGCACTTGCACTAGTTTACATTCTAGCACACCATAAATGTGACCACAATTTTAACTGAAATTTGGTGGGGTATTTTACTTACTCCATATTTTTATCTGAAATACATTTTTTTCTTGAATTAGCTAAAATTATTTTTTTTCCTATTTCTGAGGAATTTTAACCACGGTGAAAACCTTTCTCATTTGAACCAAAAACATGTCAAAAATGAAGACTGAGTTTGTTTTGATGCCCGAGGTTCCAGTGTTGTGGTTGGCAGCAATTACCAGAGGGGTCTGCAAAAGATATCACTCTCTGTACTTGTTTAATTGTGGGCTTAGGTGGACAGTCCTTTTAAGCAGCCAAGTTTTATCTTTCAGCTAACAGTACCTGAAACACTATGAAGTCAAGCAAACAGCCTGACCACTGTCTGCATTGAGATGTCCTGGTTTCTTTTTAGATTTAGTGACCATTGTTTTCACCTTTTCTACAACACCAAGGAAAAGCTGGTGAAACTGGGTCTGACTTAGTTCTTTGATCTACACAAGACATTTTTTTGTCCCATGGATTTTACTAGAGCACAGACATCCCTGATGTGGAAACACCCAACAGAGTGTCATTTCTTTGTGTCAGGCATCAAGTGGGCTGGATCATAAGTAGCTGGATTAGTACCAAAACCAAGGGACTTTCTCAAAGTGAACAGATATACCAAAGATCTGATCTCTGCTTGAAAAGAAAAAAAATCAAGGAAAACCGTTTATTAGTTGCCAGATGCTAAAATATTAAATTTGGCCTTAGTTGCATTTTGTGTACTAAGTCTTTTCAGATCCATTTAGCTTAAACCTGCAGAAATGCTGTAATTTGCATATAGTGACATTGAGTAGTATGTGATGTTTTTGCTAATTAGGGAATAGCATCAAAGAATTTTCTTAGTAATAAGCAAATTCTTTCAGACTAGTCTTTCACTGATAGAGGATGGTCTCTGTGTTGATAGTTTTTCCATCTCAATGGAAATCTTTCTGAATAGAATAAAGGAGGAATATAAGATTATCCTTCTCATGTGCCTTACCAGTCTACAGTCAAAATTCCATATAGGAGGGATTTGATTTTGCTAAATCATAAAATATGCATTAGGTTAAGAGGAAAAAAATACACTCATTTTAGATAATTTGTTGGAAACTAGAATTTCTGTGAAAGCACAGGCCTGTTCCCCAAGCAAAATCATGCTGAGTCATAATGTCAGGAGATGCAAAATTCAACAAGTTCATGATAGTGTGTGACTAATACAAGTCATGTAGTTTTGGCTGGGTTTTCACAATAGGTCAAATACTTTCACAAAGCTCAAGGCTGTCCTCAGAGAGCTCATCGAGAAAAAACCTTGTTCTTTGAAAGCAAGTTTGTCACTAGGTTGAAGATCCTATCAGGGAAAAGGTTGTTAGTATTTGACAAATCAGCAACCCTTTGGGTTGCTCAACTCATTCTTTTTGGTAGATCCAACCTCTTCTGTTGAAGCAAGCAAGACATACTGACAAATTTTCAGTTTATTCTCCCTCTGAGTTTCCATCTAATTTTAAGTGAAAAAATGCTGGTTTGAAATTCTACAAAGTTTCTTTTAAAAGAGGTAAACCCAAATGTTGCAGAATAACAATGTGACATTTTAAAAATGTAAAATTTAAATGTTCATCATTTTTAAACTTTCCCTCCATTTGGGGGGTTGAAACTGTTTACCTTGGTTTATCCAAAAGCTTAAATAGCTCCAGTGCTGTGCATTTACCTCAGCCTGACAAATCTCACCAAAGTTCAGTAAGTAGAAGCCTTTCTGCTCAAGAGTAGTGATGTGATGGGCAGCAGGTGCTTGAAGACAGTCTTTCAGGAGAGCTGAATGACCAGCTCTTTCTAAAGCTTTCTCTGCTTTCCTTGCCTTTTAAGCAACCCTAACATATAGCCATGATCCCCAAAGTCCCAGGAATTTTTCTGGAAAGGGCTGCTCTTTTGAGTGTTTAGAAGTCCCAGACAAGAAACTCATGAAATCCTTGATCACCCTGCTGAGGGGCTTGGCTGGACATCCTTTGCAAAGTGAGTAGGATGCTTACCCCACCTAAACTAAAGGACATGACAGCAGGCATAAGCCTGGTCTTGTTTATATTTTGCTGGTTTGAAATTATATTTTACCTCCAGCCTGCAGCCTAGTCTGTCTCTCCTTAAATATGTATTGTTTGACATTGTTTCTGCTTGAAACATTTATAAAGCATTATGCCTAAAAAATTAGTTTGATGAATGCAAAGAGATGGTTCTGTTAATAAAGGCATTGGCAGAAAGGCCATAAGCTTTTTTTTCAGTGTGGAAGGTTGTAGTTTGGCTGCTGTAAATTGCTCTGAGTAGCAAGATAGTAAAAAAAAAAAACAAAACAAAAAGACAAAAATAAAGTAATAGATGATGCCGAAGAAGAAACTGTTCCAGCAAATTGAGCATTTGTGGAGATATACAATTAAAGCATTGTGAATTCCTCACTCATTGTAATGAGGGAACAAAGACTGTCTCAGAACTTATGGAGCTCATATGCTTCTACAAGACCTATCTTGTAGGTGACAGATCTGTTACTGCCTGACAGATGACCTTTGCTGATACCACACCATGGTCTATAAAAATGACACCCTCCTCTGAGATGCCATTGGTTCCATCACCATTCTATTGTGTAAATAACCTCATCAGACACAAAAAAAGTGTCTGATTTCTAACCAGTTCACTCTCATATCCCAGGATCATATTTCAGCCAAGAAATTAACATCACACATCACATCTTCATTTCCAGATAAAACAAATAAATATATTGCATTTTTGTTGTTGTATCTCTTGCAGACAAACAAAGCAGTAGCCAAGGGGGACTTCCACCATGCAAGCTCCAGCTCTCGGCGAGCACTCTTCCTGGCTGTCCTGTCCATCACAATCGGAACTGGCATTTATGTTGGGGTGGCTGTGGCTCTTATTGCTTATCTCTCTAAAAACAATCATTTATGAGCCTCAGGAAAGGGGAGAGAACCAGCCTCCCAGCACCTGAACTGCAGAAGTCCCCAGCAGATCAGACTGCATTATTTTCCAAAAAGATCAAGAGACAAACCACCTTCTGGGGACAGGTACAGGATGAGATGGGCTTGTGCATTATTGTAGGGTGGGAAGCTGTTTGGGCTTGGGGTGGTTCCACCATTTGTGATGCACAAGTCTTGCTTTTCTTCATGAACCCCTGTACAAGAAAGAAGGAAAGAATGAAAGAGTAAAAGAGAGAAAAAGAAAGAAAAATAAAAGAAAGAAATAAAAAAGAAAAAATAAAAGGAAAGAAGCTGGGAGAGGTGTGGAGAGGGGTGTTTCGCCTTTGCCTTCTTTGCAATACAGCGTTTGCAAGCAGCTGGCAAATTGAGCTGTTCTCTTAATACCTTCTTGGTGACCTGAACTTTGCAGCCAGCATGAGCTTGTCCTTTGCTTGTTAAGCACAGCACTGAGATCTGGGAAAGCATGGACAGTGGCTGGTTCTATGAAAGAGCATTGTAACAATAGGAGAAAGACTATGGCTTTTTTTGTGTTTTGAATGCAGGACTCATCTGCCTAAGAATGAAGCAGACACCTCAGCATAGAGTGGTATTGCCTACTTTTCTTTTTTGGGGTAGGTTTCCATGGGAGGAGAAAAGGAAATAAAAAGTATATTTCTTTCCCTTCCTTGTTTTTGGATTAAGGTGTGACACACAGGTCCACTCAATAAAGAACTGCTGAGGTTACTGCATGATTTGGCTCCATAGACTGAGTGCAAGGTTGAAGAACATGAGATCTGTTGTAAAATGAATTCCTGCATCCAGTCACATTGTGATAATAGCATTTTCCTGTGGCATATTGCTCATTTGGGTTGCTCTACCTTACTGTGGAGACCTGCATAGCGGTCAGTGCAAGAAACTTAGGGGAAAAAATGTAAACTGAAGTACTAATAAATTTTTTAATTAAAAATCATAGTAAAGCATGGGAATTAACCAGAGGAAGGAATGCTTCATATACTTCCGAGGTCCTACTCATATACAGAGCAGTGAAGGAGACCATTCAGAGCTCACAGCTCATCTGTGGCCCAGGGACACTGCGTAGCCATGGAGAGACAAGCCTGTCCCTCGATAAGCAGAGCAATGGTACATTGTAGGGTGTACCACTAAGGGTGTATCAGCATAGATACGTATGTAGCTACACAGATATACACAGAGAGGAAAACCAATCAAGTCAGTAACCATTTTATTACTCACTGTGTTTTACAAACATAATTTCTTTACCCATGAATTTCATCAAAGACCTTTTTCTGCAATTCAGTATTGTGTGTCATCTTTGCTCTGGGAAAGGTTTTTTTCTCCTGTTTTGGGGTTGGTATTGTTTTGTTTTTAATTTGACCTATTTTAGTTTAAATGGGAGGAGAACAAACACATCCAAACATATTTTTCTGGTAGTTTATTAAAACACATGAAATACAGCTACTGTTGCTCTGTGTGACACTTACTTTGGGCAGATGTGAAGCATTAGACAAGAGTTAAACTTGTCCCAGTACCCCAAGTTCAGCTAGCTGGAGAGGTACTCTGTACAACTACATGAAAGGAGGTTGTAGCCAGGTGGGCATCAGTCTCTTTTCCCAGGCAACCAACATTAGGGCAAGAGGACACAGTCTTAAGCTGTGCCCAGGGGAGGTTTAGGTTAGACATTAGAAAGAAGTTCTTCACAGAAAGAGTGACAGGACAGTGGAATGAGCAGACCAGGGAGGTGGTGAAGTCACTGTCCCTGGAGGTGTTCAAGAAAAGACTGGAGTTGGCACTTAGTGCCATGGTCTAGTTGACATGGTGGTGTTAGGTCATAGGTTGGACCTAAATGATCTCAGAGGTCTTTTCCAACCTAGTTGATTCTGTGATTCTGTACCCATATGGACCAACTCGTACTGAACAGGGACCCAAAAACCTGTTGCAGTCACTGACAGTTCTTCTTTTGAATTGAATTCAAAGAACCATAGAATGATTTGATTTAGAAGGGATCTTAAAGATCACTTAGTTCCAACCCCTTGCAATGGGCATGGATGCCACACTCACTGGGTGGCAAATTGTTGGGCTTCAGAGCTAAGCCTGGAGAGTAGCAATGTACTCGTAGTCATCTTCATTCATCTTCAGCCACTGCTAAAGCTGAGGTCCCAGCAGATGCAGTTTTTGGCTGCATTGCCCTATTATGGTAGAGTCAATTCTCTGGCTCGTCTCCTTCAATCTTTGTTTCTGGCAAGTGCCATGGAAAACTCCTCCCTTTGAAGCAAGGGAGTAGTGAGAGGGCAAGTTACAGTCCCCACTCCATATTTTCCCCAATGGGCAATGAGAGAAAACCTTGTCTGAGGCCAGGAATGCCCTTATCCAACAAACAGGCAAGGACTGAAAATAGTAATTATTTATTTAACTTAAATGAAGAGTTTACCATCTGGGTACATTCCCATTAATATTCCATCTAAAATAAGCACAAACACTGGTGGGAAAATGTAGAGTAGCAAACAGTATGGGGCACATCACCCTCAACTGCACTCCTAGCAATACTGTTATGGCTGTCTCATAATTTGGGCAAGGGAACACATTTCTATTAGAACTTGGCTTTCACCACAGGTTCCTGTGCTTTGTCCTTGACACACAGGTCAGCACAAAAAAGGCCACAGTGGATTGCCATGTGTGACATGCTCTTCCCTTATGCATATGTATTATGCATGATTTACAGGAAATTCAGTCTTTCTCTCAAAGGCTGAACTTTGGAGCACATGAACTAAAAAACCCTCAGATCATTCATTTAAAAGGAAAGGAGCTAATATTTCCTAGTCTTGATCTGCTTTTAACCTGGAGTTAAAAAAAAAATTAGCAAATACAGATACAAGCCCAAAAATATTAATAATGTCATTTTTAAACCCATCTTGTGGTTGAAGAGTCTGCCTTTTGATGATGATGGTGCAGGCTGAATATTGACCTGAGAAGTAAAAGCCAGCTCTGGAGCTAGAAGAAACTTTCTCAGATGGGCAGCTTTAAAATGCCATAGAGGCCCTTGCATCTAGCCTTAAAAATAGCATCCCAAACTGGGGAGTGACAGCTTCCATGTCTCCAGGAACCCCCAACAGACAATAAACAGGAGCAGCACTGTGTGAAAGATCTGCATAGCAAAAGCACTCCTGAAAGCATTACCAGGCAGAAAGTTGATACCCTTGTGCCGCACATGCTGAAGCAACCCACTGTGTGACAGGGAGCTGGTACTTGGCATGGCAGTCCAGGGGGCTGAGCAAAAAAGCTAAAGGGGGCTTGCATCCTGTCCTGTTGGCTGCTTGTCGCTGATAATTATTCTCTCGTTTCGGAAGGGAAGGGTTGTGAGACCAGGGAGGAGAGACAGCGATCCTACATCTGCTGTGAATGATGAATAGGAAGAAGTAAGGAGGAAGTACAGACAGGTAGATATAGACCCTTGAAGTCTTACTTATCTGTAGAGAGACACCAAGAGAATTGCTCTGAGTACTTTCCTCTTTCAAAGCAGTTTTTTGAAACTGAGTTAATATACCTGTCATTCAGTTTAGCTTGAACTTGCCCCTAAAGTTACCTGTTATTCAGAAGCCACTGCTCCTTCTGTACTCTCTCTCTGCTTAATGGCATCTTTATTTCCAACAAATGTAATTTTTTAGGTAGCAGAGTGTTCTGCCCTTCTGTGTTTGGATACAGGGAGATCCTGTTTAGTTTACAATAGAGCTCTGTCATCCCAGAAAGAGAGGAGAGAAGCCAGTCTCCCAAACACTACAGTTGCCTCATTACTGCCCTTTCTGAAGTGAGACTTTTATGCGATATTGGCTCAATTAGGAGGTGTTAAAGAAATGGCACTGGCATCTTTAACCAGATGACAAGTTGTAGTGATAGTTAAGATTTACTACAAGATTTACTACAAGGAAAAATACCAAATTGTAAAGTCCAGGGACCAAAGGCTCCAACTTAATTGTATAATGTAGGATGTCATTGGGAATTACCCTCAAAAGATGCATGGGGAGTTCTGGAGAATCACAGAAAGGGAAGAAAAAAAAAGCCCTTTTTGTGACAGTCCCAGAGCTCAAGGGAACAGAGAGACAGCAAATAATGTGCTGGGTCAGAGACTAATTAGACATTACATCTGACAGGATTTCATAACTCCCTGATACCTCCATTGTGTCTTCATTTGGGAATTTTCCTAGCCCTGAGCATTTTTCATTGCTCTGTCAGTCTGAAATGAATTTGTCTCATCTTCTATGCAACACCTACCATAAAGTTAGCTTGCAAGAGGTCCTTGCTGAGGCAACAAGAGGCATATGCTCAGGCTTGGGAACATCATGGTTCACCAAGGCTGAAACAGCGGTGGCAGCAGCAACTACCTTCTCTGGGCTGGCTGACACACACCCTTCACAGTTTGGGGAATGCCACCTGATGAGCTGCAAAGGAAATTCACAGTCAGCCAACAACTTAATGCAATTAAGTGCCTATAAACTTCACTGTAAGGAGCAGTGCAACAGAAGAGTTGTATCAAATCACTGTTCCCAGAGAAAGGGCACAAAGAGAGAGTGTGCTCTGTATCACACATCAGACACACTCAGAGGCTGTTAAAATCCCCAACCAGAGGTGGAGCTTCAATCAGAGTGCACAACAGGCCGCAATACACAGTCTGGAGGAGAACAGGCTTCATTCATCTCAAAGTTGTTTACACTTGCCTGAATGTACAATGCAAGACCACGGGATGAGTATTTCCAGAAGGCCTGCACCTTAGAGACTTTGTTATGTGCATCGTTTCTTCAGGGCAAGATGCAGTCCAAGTAGCCATCCTTGGCTTAGACAACTTCAAATCCAAGACAGAGGCAGAGATAGATTACAAGAACAGTGTCAGTTTTCTCAGCTGAACCAACCTAGCCTTTTTCAGCACACTGCACCAACTCTGTTTTCTGTATCAGACCAGCACGGAGGATGCTCTTTACTGGCTGCATGGTTTTGCTCACAGGCAGTGCAATGCTGTGATGGTATGGTTCCTCAGGCTATCTGATCGCTGTGCTGCACAGAACAGTGATTTTGCTTCAGACATCATGGCACGCAACTCAGTGTTGCAGGCACCAGGATCACAGATCACAGCTGTGCCAAATGAATGAAGGCAGGACCTGCCAACACTGTTGCAGTTTATGGTGGTATGGTGAGCACAACATATGTTTCTATTTACTGATCATGAGGCAGCTCTGGTGATCCTACTACATACCATTGTCAGAAGGTAGGTGCTACTTCTTCGTGCCATCACATTTCCTTCTTTGGACACGTCCAAGTGTACTTAGGCTGCTCTAGCCATTTCAGGGTGTAGCTGTCAGTGCAAGGAAGCTGAGGTGTGGGAAAGGCTCTATGAGATAGATTTTATGGGGTGAGAGGTAGGAGAGAATCTGTAATTTACTATAAGCTATGATTGCACACAGCCAGAGTGCCTTGTGCCTGGGGAGAAAGCCATCTTCTTTTGGCTGATAACTGTTATGGTGGGCTCTTTTATTGTGGTCAAAACCCTCCCTCTACAGACTTTCCTGACAAATAACAGACTATGCTTGTGCAAAGGCAAAGCATCTGAAGGATGTACCAGATGGGTTACAGTAACCCTCCCTTTCCAAAACAAGGTCAGGCATTTGCATACCTCTCAGATTCAGTTTGTCCTTCAAGAATACTCAGAGGTGCCCCCCGTCTTTCAGACTCATGCTGTTTCTTAGTGCTATATATGTACACATACATGTGCATACATATATACAGGTAAATGTACATGTACATATCCATATCTCACACATATGTATCTTTGAAACACTGAAAGAGAAAGGGAAATCAGCTGACTTGTTCTCCATCAAGGAGAATGTTGCAATGGATTTCAACAATAAAAATAACTGATAAATAATCACCTAAAAAATGGACAACAGCCCTAGGCTTTGCTACTTTCCTGCCTACAGGAAAGTACTCCTGTGCTTTGAGTCAGGTGTTTGCTGCTTTTTGCTCCCTGTCATCCTTGCCCAATCCATATTTTGCTCACATTGAGGAGGCAAACTGGTTGTCATGCATGGAAGTGACATGACACATCCTTGGCAGCATGCTGTTCACTGTTTTACAGTGGAAAGGACTCAGTCCTAGGAATGCAAGTCCAGCTTGTCCATGGATTTTCACTGTGTGTTTTGATAAGCCTTCAGGGACTGGCAACCCATCTAATCTGTCTACCAGCTGTTTGAAGTCATCCTGTCATCTCCATTCTCTGTGCTCAGGCCCACGACTAACTTGGTGACCTCCACTGGACACACTCCAGTTTGATCCTCTCTCTCTTGTAGTGGGGAGACCCAGATTGGGTGGGATCTCAGCAGT